TTTTTTTATATTTATTTCTCAATAATATTATTAAATAAATTTGGAAATTACCTATGGCGACATTAATGTAATAAAATTTGGTATATTTGCCTTTGGCCCACAGCTCATAATGATATTTGGTGTTTGGCTCATTATACGAAAAAGCTTGGGCACCCCTGGTCTATTGTGTTCAACAGTAGAAAGAGACACGGTGGTAACATTAAAGCGTGTTTAAATGATGACAGAATTGTACATTTTTGGGTGAACTATCCCTCTAAATCCTTTGCTGAATGTCAAGTGTGTTGTGTGTAATAATTTTAGATTTCTATGACTTTCTCTTTCGGACTGTCTGCTGCTGCTGCTTAGGAATATTCGTCCGCTTGTGTGTGTTGTACTTTTGCAATAGGACCAATGTAGAAAACTGTCTTAATGTTTCTTCTGTGGACGTGAATCAAACCGCAGGGCTCTGACGCTCCTCCGCAGAGCAAGCAACAAAATCCCAGTCTTCCCTGGGACACTGGACGCCAGTCGACTGGCCCCCTTTCCCTCTCTGTGTTCACACTCTTTTCCATTCTAATATGGGACCGTATAGTCACACAAAGACCTACCCAATGCAATACTGCCAACATCTCCGCTTACTAACATCTAACACTTCTCCCCGGCTCATAAAAAGCAATGTAAAGACTCTTCCAAAGAACTGATGCCTTTTTCTTTTCGCGTTCGTCCTGTGGAGGCTCCAGTGTTGTCGATTCCTTTCGTGGATGCTTTGGCATGCTTTGAAATCCCTTTCTTCAAATGAACACGTCGGCCAGTGATGAAAAAAAAATGAAAGCTTTTCCTCTGGCGACTCGTGTAGCTTCTTGTCATCCTGTGAAAAACCTCCATGATGAAAAACCAACCAGTAGAGCGACTTACATGCAGATTTACCCATCAGTTATCGATTAGTTAACCATAGCAAATAAAGAACTTTTAAATATATCATGTGCCTGGTGTGACGTGTCAGTCATTGGAAATAAATGTTGTAATTGCTGCGTCTGGAGTTTGATGAGGGATTGGGTGTGCATGTGGGGTGTTTAGAGACCAAATTTAATGAAAGATAACCATTTGTTTATTTTACTAAAGATGCATTATGTAAGTTTGACACCCAGTGGTTGAACTAGGTATTGCATTCCTGGATCAAAACACAACCCAAGCTCATTCTGAAAACGTAGTCCCGTGGACGTTTCTGGAGACCGCGAAATGCGTCCCGGGAGGTTGAGGCCGCCGTTCCCTTTGCGCTTGCCGGCTGACCGCTTACCTCCGTGTGGGGGGCTTTCCCGCAGCAGTCAGTTTGTCCGGTCAGCTCATCGTGTGCGTCGGCAGACTTCAGATGCAGAGAGGATTAGTTGACAAAGGCGGGGAAGAGTGGTTCCAGAAATCAGGTAAGACAAAAACATAATCCAAAAAATAAAGTAAACGAGTTCATAACAGGATGAGAACGTGGTGAAATCCGAAAACGTGGTAAAAAGCAGACGAGGGTTTTTCTTTTTCTAGACGGCTTTTCTAATTTGGTGATCGAGTTTAGGGAAGTGAGCGGGCGGGCGGGTCAATTGGTAAAACTGGTTGAGTTCAGGGAAGGAGGAGGGTGGGTGAGCTGGTCTGGGCCGGTCACCCAGTCAATCATTCGGTCAGTCAGACAGCGGCCTCTGGTGGGTTGATGCGAGAACAGCGCGGGCGCGAACGGCACTTGCCAGAGATGTTCAAGATACGATAAAGCGCACACAACGGCTTCTCGCGGATTCGAGGAAACAAAAACTGCACAAATATGTACCTCCCGAGACGTATTTCGCGGTTTCCAAAAATGTCCGCTGGACTACGTTTTCAGAATAAGCCTGGGTTGTCAAAACAAACACAAGCACAGGTTGCCAGATTGACGACCAACAGGAGCGAGTCTGACGCGATGGAAGGAATATTTTCCATATTAAAAAGGTTTTTTTGTCCAACACCTCGAATTGATATATCAAACGACTTCTATTTTCACAGCTAAACAACAGGATAAACTGACAATGATCAGCTCAGGTACACCTCATGTGCTTTATTCAGTGTTTAATGCTAACAATGTGAGTTTGAATGCCATTTTACATCACATTTATTGCCATACTATACACTGAATGTTGTCTGCAAAATTGTTGCAAACAATTTATTTGTGTTTAAACAAACAAATTAAATTTAGTAATGTTCAACTTAGTTTAATTGTTTAAATTCAACATAAACAAAGTGTTTACAACCCCTTAACTTAAAGAAATTAAGTAAATTCAAGGAATCATGTTTGAATCTTTTTTTCAGTGTGCTGAAAACAGCAGCAGATAGTTCACCTCAGATCTGGAAAATAAAATAAACTTTCTGAAATTGAACTAAAGACTCAAAACCAACACAAATTAGTGATTCAGCATCTATATTTAATAATGTTAAAGATGTTTATTATGTAATAATTAGATTATTAACCGTTCCATTTCGTTGTAGTGCTGTAAGAGCACTATTCTGTGCTTCTGAATGGCTGTATTTAAATTTCTCTTGTGTTTCGTCTGGTGCAAACAGCCAAATTGCTAATCACTGCGAATCTCATCACGTAGCGCATTGTTAGGACACGGGGTTACAATGTAACCTGCTCACCTCATCTTTACGCTTATAATATTTATATTATTTGCTAATTAATAATCTTATGTGTAACTTTATGTGTAACTGAATCTGCATCTTATTTCTAAGTCTGCTACTGTCCACCGGAGGTCGCATTTCGGTCATGGGTGCATGCTTTGAGAGTCTTTCTGAATGAATGAATGAATTAATGAATGAATGAATGAATGAAATAAGCTGTTTTCCAGCAAGGCAACTTTCAATGCTAAAATATAATTGGCTAAACTGACAATGAGCAGGTTAAACGTACACGTTCTGGCACATAATGCACATTTTCAAAGCAGAATATCTGACTTCAGCATTGTTTTTCAGATAAACAAGAATGTTCACTTAGCATGTTTCTTAAATATCTGCAAACATATTATGGTATATTTATGCTTTAGAAGAGTCAAAAACTCACAAACAACACCTTTAAATACTAATCTAAAATGTTATCAAAATGCCATGATGCAAATCTTATAGACTATAAGAAATGCTGCTATCAGGAAGTCTTTAATGCTTTACAAAATGTAACATCTTTTCTTTAATCTTTATTCATCACATATAAAATAAAAGTTTTTTGTTTGTTTTGTAGTTATAATATTGGGCTGCATTGGGCTCCTCTGGGTGCTCCGGTTTCCCCCACCAGTCCAAAGACATTTGCTATAGGTGACTTGAATAAACTAAATTGGCCGTAGTGTTAAACATATGCTGTATAAGTTGGCGGTTCATTCTGCTGTGGCGAACCCTGATGAATAAAGGACCAAGCAGAAGGAAAATTTGTTAATTTATTTAATGTAATATGAGTAAAAATACAAGTATTTTTTCTAACATAAATACATGCATGTGTGTATGATAAGTATACACAATACACACACACACACACACACACACACACATAAATGTAATATTTTAATTTGGATGCTATTTATCATGATTAATTGTTTGACAGGAGAGCACCACTATAAATCATATATCCAGACTGATTAGAAAATCTTCATAAACAATCAAAGAAAAGTAAACTAATGGNGGGGGGGGGGGGGGGGGGTTCACATGTTTTAAAATGTATAGTATAAAAAGAACAAGGTTTAATATTTTGTCACATCAATTTGTTACATTTAGGAGATTTATCTATGTATTTTATTTTATTGAATTCCTGAAGGGGGCTGTGTATTGTGGAATCTGAGCTGGTAGGTTGTCATCATTTGTTCATACTAAATTCTAAAAGTGGTTTATACCACTGCTGTATTATAACATAAGTGTTAATTTTATTATTGCATTACACTTAAATTTAGGCTACTTGTAATTATTAATTTGCTTTCATGAGTTATCCGAATCTAATTTTCCAATAGTGTATACTTCTGAGTAGTATCGTGTTTCATTGTCACTAAAATCAACAATAAGTCACTTTCCAAAACCTTTTCATTCACTGTTCCTCACTGGTGGTGAATAATCTTCCCAGTACCACACGGACTGCTGATTCACTACTAGTATTATTTCTAATCTCAGATCCAATCCTATTGGTCCCACTGAACAGCATCCGCCAATGAGCAGCCTCCTAAAGGAAACTAAAAGATAAGGACAACTAAAACCCATCTCTTCTGAAATCACCTTTTATTATTGAGGTAAAGTTGGTAATAATTCACACATTCAGACTATCCCCTTAACAATATAATTTTTGTTATATTATTCTGTGAAAATTCTAAATAGTGAAATCAAATTAGCAGCCAATGACAGTACAACATTCTTCACTATCGAGGTGCTGATGTTGTTTTGAAGTCATCCGAATATTCAACGTAGTGGTAAACATGAACGATTCTAAAATATAAAATCAGCCTTACCTCAATGATATCTAATTCACTGACTAAAAACCTGTGTAGTTATAAAAATGACCTGTTTTATTGACTTAATACAAGTGTTTGGTGAAATCGCCTTCAAATGAATTGTTTACAAGGCTACCTGGCAAATTTAGATTCCTAAATTAAACATGAATGAATATCTGTATGCTATATAAAAACTTAATATAAATGTTTGTGTATAATATGTATATAAAACGTGTATAAATTGTATTTTTAATTCAATCAAATCAATTTTCAGTTACGAACATCCAGTTTTAGCGGTTACAATTAAAGTCATTGTGATTGGTCCATCCTGATCAGCGCTGAGATAAGTAACAGTTGCTTTGTGACAAAGCCAGCCCATCTAAGTAGATGTTCTGATTATAAAAGGACAAACTGGATACATGATATATCACATTTCGTTTACAGAATTAAAATGTAATGATTATAACAATGTACCCGTCGAATATCTGACAGTTTTATCGCATAAACCGTTTAATTTTTTTCTCCGGTGCAGCAGGAGGCAGTAAAGCCAAATAAACCCTCAAGACCAGAATCTCAAACACATGACACAAAGCGCAGACGTGTTTATCCTGAATCTGACAACAAACGGAGACATTCTGCAGGTTTAGGAGGCGACTTTTCATTTTAACAACACGACAGGCCTTTGTTTTAAACATACAGGTAAGTGGTTTGTTTTTTGTGTGTGATTTATACCCGCAGACACCCCTCCGTAATGTTTTCATTAAGAGTATTGCTAGTTTTGCTCGTTTACGGGTATTTATGCTAACACTAATACTACAGACGGGTCTTACAGGGTTCTGGAAAAACCTTGAAAATGCTTGAATTATAATCCAGTGTTCTCAAGGTTAGAAAGGTGCTTTTTTTTGATAAAGTGTCTTAAAACTGCTTGAAAATGTTAATGTTGTTTTCATAATAATGTGTTTTACTAAATAGCTAATTATAAATAACTTAACGATGTAAATAAAATACCACAAATCTCTTTGCTTAATGTAAACTCTGTGCGATCTGCCTTTCTTATCTGTGTCATTTGTAATCAAATTAAATATGGATTTAAGATGAAGATGGCATATTTAAGTGAACCACATTTAAGAATTGAGGTAAAGTTTATTTTATATTTGCACATTCAGACTTTCTCCAAATAACTTCAGAAAAGTGTTATTTGCTAATTCTAAATAGTAAAATCATATTAGCTGCCAATGACTATCTAAAATTTTCCAAAAGTACTTCTGACTGGTTTTGTGGTCCATTGTCACAAATATCAACAATAAGTGTCTTTCCAAAACCTTTTCATTCACTGTTCCTCACTGGTGGTGAATGATCTTGGCCTTCCCACACGGACTGCTGATTCACTATCATTCAATCAACATCCACAACCCCATCTCTTCCGAAATCACCTCTTATTATTGACATGAAGTTGATTTTTTTTTTTATTTACACATTCAGACTTTCTTATTAATAATATTAATTCAGAAAATAATTATTAGCAAATTCTGAATTGTGAAATCATATAAGCAGCCAAGGACTATCAGTACACCATTGTTCACTGTGAATAAATAGTCATAATGTTGTTTCAAAGTCATGCTTGCATGCAATTTCAGACCGCATATTCAAAATATTATTGTAAATAACATAGGGAGCACATTATAAATTGTCACTGAACGAATGTGCGAATATAAAACCAACTTTATTTCAGTCATTTAACCGAGTAAATGACAGTGTTGGGTTAGAGGCTAAAATGCCATGGTTAAACCTTTCCTTAAAATACCACACTGTACTATAGAATTCAATAACTAACAGGATCTAATGTAATATGATGAAGTACACTCTAAAACCTGCTGGGTTCCACACAATTGATTTGTGTTTATGTAACATGAAATATTTAAGTTAACTTATTTGTTTTTACAAATTTAAGTGGATTGAACATTAACAATTAAGTTCTCCCCAGAAAAACAAAGAATTTTTGTTGTTTCAGCTCATTTTAAATAAGTAGTTTGAACAAACAGCAAATGTCATATTTTGAGTTTATATGTATTTTACCAAACTTTTAAAGTGCTGAAAAAGATTGAAAATGCACCTGGAAAGTGCTTAAATTTGGCCCTGACGACAGTAATAAATCCCTCGGTTTATTTTTTCCCCCAAATTCTGTTTAACAGAGAGAGATTTTTTTGCAGTACATTTCTAAACATAATAGTTTTAATAACTCATTTCTAATAACTGATTTATTTTATCTTTACCATGATGACAGTCAGTAATATTTCAGTAGATATTTTTCAAGACACTTCTATACAGATTAAAGTGACATTTAAAGGCTTAACAAGGTTAATTAGCTTAACTACACAGGTTAGGGCAATTAGGCAAGTTATTGTATAACGATGGTTTGTTCTGTAGACTTTCAGGAAAAAAGATAGCTTAATAATTTCGACCTTAAGATGGTGCTTAAAAAATTAAAAACTACTTTTATTCTAGCCGAAATAAAACAAATAAGACTTTCTTCAGAAGAAAAAATATTATCAGACATACTGTGAAAATTTCCTTGCTCTGTTAAACATCATTTGGGAAATATTTAACAAAGAAAATTTAAAGGGGGACTAATAATTCTGACATGAACTGTATATATATTTATTATTTCTTTGTACTGTGGTGTTGTGACAGGCGCTCTTCATCATGTCCGCTGATCTGGATCTTTCTCCTCCGGAGGTTCCTGAACCCACTTTCTTCGAGAGTCTCCTGCGTTATGGATTATTTCTAGGGGCCATTTTTCAACTCATCTGTATTTTAGCTGTAATTATACCCACATCCAAGGGCCACGAACAGGTGAGGATGACCTACAGCCACAGATCTGACTGTAATCAAACCCACGTCAAAAAAGTACTGTAGTGTTTTTGAACTATACTGTTGTAAAGTGTGTTATGAAGTCAATAAAAAACGACATTTTTGGCCTTAAAATGGGACAAATTCACTGAAATATTGTCTTGTTTGTTTAAAATCATTTTAAACTGGTCTTAATTTTCCTTCATTTATGTTAAGCTACCAAATCACTCCAACAAATCCAATAATAGAAAACGTTTAGCAAATCTTTATTTTACAACTAATATTATAACAGTCTCTTGTGCATACATGTAGCTTAAGCTTCTTAATAGTGTATTTAATTATTATTATAATTTTTTTAGTTTTATGTTGAAAAAAATATTATATATAGAACTACAGCATCTGAGCATCTGTTTTTTGATTGGTCAAGTAGAAAAATTTGCTGGGCCATTGAAAAAATCCTATATGATTTACAGAGACCTGGAAGGGACGTGATGGTGGGAGAGAAAAAAAAACAGTGATAGGATGATGTTGTTGTTTTTTGCGTTACCTTACAAAGATTGCGTTATCTCGCAAAGATGTTTTCCATAAACACCTCCTGTTCACTTCATACAAGTCAACCTGATCGGGGATCAGTTTATCATACGGAGCGCATCCACTGATTCAGTTGCTGCATGTGAAAGTGAATGCAGATATCTTTATATTAATTTCAGCGTGCTTTCAAGAATAAAAATACACAAGAAATATGGGGAAATACTTACTCATAGGATGACAGCGGGATAGAATGGTATACGGGAGAATCCCAGCAAAAACAGCAGGGTTGACATGTATGAGGTGAACAGGAAGTGTTTGTGGAAAAACATCTTTGCGAGGGAACGCAAAAACTTAAAAATATATATTTTTCTCATCAGTTTTTTTTTTTTTCTTCTCCCACCCAGTTTTTTCCCCACCATCACGTCCCTTCCTGGTCTGTGTAGAAATTTAATTCTTGTGTGTATATGAATAAAAAAAAACTATTTTTTAATTAACTGAAATTAGAATGAAACTTTTTTTTATTCAATATGTCAACTTTTTGCGAATCTAGAGAAACTGAGAATTTTCCAGTGCACTATTTATTTTTTTCCCAACTATGGAACTAAATATTTTAAGATTTAGATATACATTTTCATTGTGTCTCTTGAAAACGGTGGTGAACAACCATTATTAAACAGTGTATTAATGCTAAAACCATCATTTCATCTTACACGTGTTTCNNTNGNNNGGNNG